TTCTTTCTTCAGAAACCATCATTTAAATTTATTCAGGACTTCGCCTATATTTAAGTGATGCTATTTCCCTTCTCTATGCTCACTTGGCCACCAACATTTATGAGTTGGGCCCGTGTCATCTAATATGGAGCCCTCCCGAGAGGCTACTGACTAACCTGATATCCAGTCCATATACATGTGCCTTTGTCTCTGACACAAATTCCTGGTCCAAAGGATTCTGGTCCATGGAGCAGAACTGGTTATACTCTAGCTGGCTATTATAAGCCATAGAGGAGTCACATGGAAAGAACTGCTCGTGGCCACTTTCCTCAGCTGGGGCTGGACATGGGTAGTGTTAGTGCCAGGGGGCAGGGAGTATGACATGTGTATAAGTTTGATTGGCTCCATTCCAGTTCAAAAACTTTAAAAAAAATTATTTCCTTTTCAAAGAGCTCATTTCCCTATAAGGAGGTCATTTAACAGTGGGAGAAATTAACATATTTCTCACATTTCTAATTAATTTCTAGCTTGAGTTTCTTTCTACTCAATCTTCTGGACTTCTGTTTTCTTTAAGAAATACACTAAAAAAATTTTTTTACTAAAAAGCAAATTTTAAAAATGTGGGCAATAGAAAGATGTTTCCAAAAGGGATAACATTAAACATTATATGCTCTCTATTTCACTTCCCATCACTGCCTCTTCTCTGCCCCTCATTGTTTCCAGAAAAGCAAGAACTCAAAAGATCTGTCAGAAAAGCAAGAGGGTGTGATTGAAATTAGCCATGTCACTGTACACCATGTAGAGCTGGACTGCCTAACACATAATGGGAATTACCTTGTGTTCTACCAACTCCCGAGGGCCCCAGAAAAGGGACATATGAAGGAAATTCAGAAAAGAGCAACCAAATTATTAAAGAGCTGTGAGGGTGATTTATGAGGCACATTACAAGAGCTAAGGACATGTGGCTTCACTAAACAATGACTGAACGAAGATGCAATAAATGTCTATGAGTTTATGGAGAATGTAATCACTGAGGAAAGAAGAGGGATAGAGTTGTCCTGGAGGTGATAACATCATAGACCCTGCTTTTTCTTCACTTCATTTTTAATACGAGGTTCTGTGCTTTGTATTTCCTGCTACAGAAACCAGGGCCAAAATATTTTTAAATCTTTTATAAAACTGGAAAATATAAAACAACAACAGTGGAAACTTTTATAGAATGTAGGAAGTTTTCTAAATGTATTATAGGTAGGAGTATTGATTGATAAGTAATAAGAATATAAATCAATTAACAGAGAAGAAGAAATGAGTCTGTGGTGTCACATCTGGGGTGAGGGAAAGGGAGGAGAGAAAGGAAAGGAAAGGAAAGGAAAGGAAAGGAAAGGAAAGGAAAGGAAAGGAAAGGAAAGGAAAGGAAAGGAAAGGAATGAATCCACCCAAGTACTTGCACCTCATAACCAAGGAGAGCTGCCATCTTGATAGGCAGCCATGACCAGCCACTCATGAAGAGTTGCTGACCTCCCCTGACCTCCCCAGAGACCTCTGCTGACACAGGGTCTATTTCAGACAGAACAATCACCAGCCTGTATGCCATCGGTTAGACTCATAGTGCCAGGAAAGATTGAGAGAAGGTGCATGTCAGAAACAGATGGTGATGGTTGATAGGCTGCTGCTGAGGAAAAAACAGCCCCCCAGTTCTTTCTTACCTCAACTTATGCAGAGCAGTAACAAGTCACAAAACGTAAAGCGAGATGTGCAGTATCTCAGACTCAAACAAGTGGACTGACCACTAGTCCATCCTTGGGAGTGTTATGGGAACTATGACATTCTCCCTGTTCTCCTGGGCAGGAGAGGGAGATAGACCCAGAAATGGTCATATCATTGTCATTCAATGTATTCAGAGATAGAGGGGGAAAGCACCCAGTGTCAGGCCTACGGAGGACAAAAATCTATCCCAGCATGGAGGATTTGCCAGAAGATGACCTGGACACAGCAAAGCATGACCTGATAATCATCAGATAGCTTCACTTGCAGTTTCCCATTGTTGTAATGTGGAGATCCTTGTCTAGAAGCATTTACAGTAGATGGTAGAGTGGACATGTAAGGCTTTGCCTGTCACACTTGCTTTCTTCTTAAAGAATAATCCCTTCTTTCCTAGGGAACTGTTCTCCCACCCCATTCCAACTATGTGGTGTTGGCTAATCCCCATTCCTCATTTTTCTTGTCTCCTTCACTTAACCCAGGGTGAACTCATCCAACTCCTCTCCTGGAACTTTCCAAATTGAGCCAAGGGAGAGGGACATTCCTTCTGTGGTGATAAGGTCACAATGTAAGAGGTTAGGAAAACTTTAAGATGGACACTTCCCTTATATGGGAGAAGCTGGCCTGTAGTGGGACAGAGTAAAGAAGCTGACACCCAAAAGAACAATGAAAATAGATGGCAGAGACGGAGTCTGATAGTTCCAAGGCCCTGATCCGAGCGGCCCCTGAGGCCTAGTAGCACCCTTCACTCTTCCCAGTTACGTGGGAAATACCACAGCATCCCTGCAAAAGTCCTCTTGCCGAAGCTGGTTCCAATTTGGTTTCTACCACTTGCAGTCAAGAGTCTCACGTTAGCCGCAACTTCTTGACATTTTCATCCTTACCTTTGATTTCACACTGCTCCTCTCCTCTTCCCCCTTTCCAAGAAGAGTCAGCCCCAGCCTCAGTGCTGCCAATTTCTCCTGACTCTGGCTATTTATATTTTGAAAACCTGGCCAATATTCTTGCTTCTAGCTATGCCTCTAGTAATTCTGGATCGATAGGTTTCTCAAAGCCAGCTTCCATTTCAAACTACAACCAGGAGCCCTCACCAGAGAATCCAACTGAGAGTAGGCCAAGAGTAGGGCCCAAGAATCTGTAGTTTTAAAAAATACACGCTGGTTGATTCTGATGTGCAGCCAGATGGAAGCATCACTAGGCCAGATGAGCCAAGAAGCTTGTCAACTTGAAGAGTATAGGAGTGTCTTAGACATGGCACAAATTAACTGCTCAATCTCTCGTCAAGCTTCGAGAACTGCCGAGTCTGGTTTACCTCACAGAAAGCAGAATGACTGCAGGCTTGGAAATAGGTAATAGCCGTTTCCAGCTGCTCTAAGAACTATCCTGTAGGGGCTTGGGATGACGTCACCATGGGGCACAGGCCTTACGGGGGCAGGCCTGGCCCCTTATACAAGCTGCCTTTGATTTCCTTCATGCCGGAGATGGATGATGCAGAGGAAATTCATTTCTTTTTAAAGTGTAGAGTTACATCACAAGACTGCACAGTATTTCTTATAGTGTCTTTCCAATGTGGCTATCTTCAAAGGAGCTGGGCATCAGTATTCCCGAGGCAGCAGCCAAGCTGAAGTACAGGGGAGAAATTTTCTGTTACTCCATGGAGCAGTATCACCTTCGGAGCGGTCAAAACCGCTCTCCACCTCACGAGAGATGCCCAATGATGGAAATGGCACGGCGGCCCTTTTTTGAACGTGGATAAGGGAGAGTGGTGAGGGAGAGACTGGGTTTGCTGCAGGAGTCAGCCAAGTAAAGCAGCGACCGACCGGCCTCACTCCTCACCTGATTCACTGACGTTTGGACAGTGGCTGAGCTGAACCTGCCTCGCCGACTCTCAACTTCTCTTGGATTTTGGCATGTGCTGGCATCAGGCATCTGTCGTGGCATCAGGCATGACACGACAGGTGTTTCAAGGCTTTCTTCCATCAGGAAGAAAGTTTGTATTTACCTCTTACATTTTTATGTTATTATGTTTTGCTTTTATTTCTTCTCAGCCTGCAGAAATCGTGAGTTTAAGAAGAGGGGGCG